CCTCCAGCAGGAAGCTAGGGGTCTAGCCTAGCTGTCAGGAAGAGGCAGCAGCTACTAGATGGGCTGGAGGAAGCTCTGGTCCCAGCTCCAAGCCTGACAGCCTCCTCAAGGCAACACGGAGCTGGAGACAAAGGGTCTCATGTTGGGGGCAAAGATACTGCTCACAAGGCTGCCAAGTAGAGCCGTACAAGCTTTAGTGCACACGACTCAGGCACTAAGACCTGAATGGTGCCCATGGGAGTGGTGTAACCTGGCAGTGCTGCTGCTTTATAGACACTTTTAACTCTATCACCCCCAAAATTTTTACATGTGAAACTTATAATAAAGTTATTTTAACTACTTTGAAACTAATACAATGTCACATATTATCCCCACTTTGCATAAAATTGTCCCAAATCTATTAAACAGCAGAAAACTGCCTGTGAGAAACGGGTTATTTCTACTGACGGCTATTAAGAATGATAAAGAAAACAAAAAAATGTATTATGTTTCAGACTAACTTTGGTCCCCTAACAGGGGACTAGGTATTCCCAAATCATCTTCTTGCAAAATCTATTTCCTGAATACTCACCCCTCTTCCATAAGCCAGTTAAATCAGGTTAAGGTAGAAGCCATTAAATAACTAGCCCTTACCTACTTTAGTAAAATCCACAATAATTACTTGTTTAAAGTAAAAGATGATTTAATGGAAAGAACATTTTCTATATATTGGTTATCTGGTATTTACTATATATATATATAGGTTTTTATGTATACTAATAGTTAGCATCCAGGCCATAGCTATTCCTAAATTACTGATATAGCTCACTATGTTTTCACAAAAACAAATATGACAGGGATATACACACAGTACGCATGGAATCTGAAGTGAAATTTTTTTCTGAAAAGTTTAACTTGACTTACATCTTCAACGCTGGGAGCAGGCACACGAACTGCAAGGCACCTACTACGAATAGGTGGTATCACTTTTGATGTAGAATTGCAACACAAGATCAACCTGCAGGTGGACATATACTTTTCCATGGTTCTGCGCAAGGCATGCTGAGCATCTTTAGTGAGTTTGTCAACTTCTGTCAATAACACGACTGAGTCAAGGAAAAACAAAACAAACTTTAACTTAAGTATTTCTCTTCCTCTTCCTCCTCATTATTCAGAGTGAAATCCTAAACAATAAGCCTAATATACTACTTTCCCCTTTGGAGAAGACATGCAAAACTTATAGCTATGGCGAGAATAATTTCTTTTATTTTAAAACATTCTAAGATCAAACAAGCCTAAGAAACACTAGGCTAAACAAAGTTAAAGAGGCTATTTTGTTGTAGAATTTACTGCAGCCTTTATTATATTTATACACAGTAGAAATCACCACGACAAGGATACACTGTGCTGCATTTACCCAAAATAATTTATCTCAGGAGCACATTTCTGTAGAACATCTTAGCATTAAGGAATACACTTTGGAAAACACTGGCACAAGAGATGTAGCAAATAAGGCATAAAGACATCTGGTTACTTGTATAATAAGATTCCGTCTGGTCATAATCAAGGATTGGCCCTAAAGTGCTTCAGGAATAGTATGTAGGGACTGAATCCAACTGTTGTATTTTTCATTGTATTAAATTATTTCTAGAAGATGACAGTGGTAGCATTTGTAGCATTTGAATCTCTCCCATAAAAACAGACACAACAAGTAAAGGTTCCAAGACCCAAGACAACATTTATATCAAAACTAGGTGACAAGTTGTCCCTAAGAACCCTAAATATGAGCAAGTGAGAACAAGAAACTATGTGTGGGAGGAAGTGGCTGGGATCCACCAGGTTTTTGACAGCCTTTAGGACAGGAGAACCCCAAATCACCCACAAAAGCACACTGGAAATATCATGGGCCGATTTAAGAACATCACTCAGAGGGCTCAATTCATGGCTAAGAGCTAAGGAACCTTGATGCAATAAGGTTTGAGAGAACATTGGACTGAAAATAATAAAATGAATATTCCTTCCAAGATAACACTTCACAATTTGGAGACGTTCTGGAAATAGAACCGAAATTGAACAGAACAGGAAAAATAAAGACAAGGAGGTTGATCCCAGTATCTGACAAGGATAGCACCAAATAAAATGACAAAAAAATAAATCACTGCTAGGTGAGAAAACAGCAGCATATTTTAAAAATTAACACACCTCAAACAAGTGACATTTACTCCAGAAATGCAAAGCAGTTTCATTAAAAGATCTAGTAATATAATACTAAACACTAAGAAGAAAAATCATAAAACTACATTAATGGATACAGGAGAGCATTTGAAAAATAATTTTTAATTTATTTTGAAGTACAGACTGAGGAGGAAAGATAAGAAATACACTGGAATATGCACAGGTGATTTACAAAATAGTAAAATAAGCAATGAACAAAAGATAAAATCATCACATTCACTAAAAAAAACAAAGTACAAACAATTTATTTTCTCCACCCAAACTAACAAGGATTAAAAATAATTATCCAGTGTTGATAAATGTTAGAGAGAAATGGGCATTCCTAAACACTGCTGGTGGTAGCACAGAGCTATACCCTCTTTCACATAAAGAATTTGGCAAAATATATCAAAAGCACTAAATATTGGCATATTTATCAAAAAATCTCCTGTAAAAATATATGCATATATATGCACATAAATAATACTGCAAATGTTAAGAGTAACTATTACGGGGATTATGACTGGTATGAATTTTCTTTTGTTTAGCTAAATATTTGATAATGAACATGTCACTTTGGTTCTAAGAACCATTATTTTTAAATAATGCAATTTCTTATTTTAAATTAAGTATTTTTTCATTACTCATCTAGTTCTAAAGTAACAAATGGGTGGCACAAATAGTTCTCTTTCTGCCAAAATTCAATTCCATTAGACTATAAACTCCCAGGAGCAGAGATCATGTCTCTGTTGTCCACTTTTACATATTTAAAGGAAAAAAAAAAAAAAAAAAAGGAAGCGCTAAGAAACAGAGGAAAACCCAGACAAACAAAAGCCAGACCAACAGGTATCTTCACCTTGCAACTGAACATGCGGGTTCAAATACAGACCCTGGACCAAACCAGCCCATTTCAGCGGTGGACACACCTCCTCCTGCTTTCCAAAGCCACTTCTGAAGCTGTCTTTTGAAAGAGTTTGGGGATGTCTTGGGTCCAATACCCTTCTGCATGACATTCACCACAATTCTTTAAAACAGAAATGGAAATGGTAAAAAAAAAAAAAAAAAAGGTAGCGTAGTGCTTGGCACAGAACAAGAGGTTAATAAATATTTGCTAAATGGATGGAATTTACATTCCCCACTACATTTTTCTCTTATACCCACTGCTTGTAATTTAAGTGTCTGCCTCATAAAAAGAAATCTTTTTATCACATACCTTTAAAATCTTTTTGAGAGTTTGTTTCAAGCTGCTGTGATTGTGCCACTGTTTTCAACATCTCCTGAATTACTACCCGGTCACTATTTCCAGCATCACTATACGAAACAAAAATAGTGGTTAAATATGTGTGTAAATATTTAGAAAGTATTATGCCCTTATTCTTAATCTGTTATTATAAGAAAAATGTTGAAGATCTTAAGTGATCAAAATTTTAACCAAACTGAGTAACACCTATTACATTCACAAAACTTTAAAAATGAAGTGTTTTAGGGTCATTAAATACTAAAAATATTCCAATACTCAACTACAATTTGGTTAATATCACTGAAAACACCAAGCATGTTCTTATATTAAGTTTACTGAGAAGATAAACAAAATTAATAAACCATTAGCCAGACTCATCAAGAAAAAAAGGGAAAAGACTCAAAAAATAAAAAAGTGAGCCATGGCCGCTGAGCCTGCGCGTCCGGAGCCTGTGCTCTGCAACGGGAGAGGCCAAAACAGTGAGAGGCCCGCGTACCGCAAAAAAAAAAAAAAAAAAAAAAAAAAGAAGAGCAATACCTATCAACAGCTTATCAAATACTCTCACACTTCTGTACCCACTATAATTCATACCTAGTCAGAGCTAATTTAAAATATAAAAATAACTCCTTGGAACAGAAATTTAATCTCTGTTCCTCTTCTCCACCCCCAAAATAGTAAAGGTCTGAGAGAGAACAAGCCTCGACAAGTCCCTCTCAGCAGTTGTTGATTCAGGGTCTTCACAAGGGGAGGGGATAAGCAAATTAAGTTTAGCACACAAATCAGTACTCTGTAAGCTGCTGACTTACAGGCATTACCTGTCATTTATACCAATATCATTGCTTTAGCACTTAAGTCCTGCACCTCACAAACCAACATAAGTCACCTTGTTAATTCGGGCTGAATGTCAATTTAAAACAGCTGAAAAACAAACAGCTTACCCTCCAACTGACTATTCTTGCTACAGAGGAACTCTCAAAGAGAAAAAGAGGGCAAAGAAGTCAGCTTTAGTTTATTTTCCCAAACAGCCATCGTCTGTCTCAATTCAATATTATTAGATCAATATATGTACAGTGTTTCTTTTATAATTATTTCCTTGTCCAGAATCTGAAATAATTCGCTTTTGTCTATGGAATTACCACTCTCTACTTTTACGATCAGACCCTTTCCCACCAACCTTAATTTTTTCTTTGACATACCTAGGAAAAATAATATCAGTCTGTTAGGGTTGTTCTGTGGACTAAATTATCCATGTAAACCTTCCCACACAGTGCCTGCTACTGAATACACATTAACTTAAAAACTCTCTTCCTCTTATCCCATTCAGTCTAGAAAGGGATGCTCGATTTCATTGCTGTGCCACTGCCCATAAAGTTGCCTTTGCCTGAAGATGTCCTTGATTCTGTTCTCCTTCAAGAACATATCAGACCCCGTAGAACCCTGAAGGCTTAGCCAACTTTACGCCCAATACAATCATTTCTACATCATTTACTTAAGCAGAACGTAACCGCTGTGGCATGAGTTTTCAACGTGCCTCCCAACAAGATCCTAGTCATTATCTCATGATAGAGAATACAGACAGTGGCTGATGGACTACAATACCCTCTAATCAAAAAACTGAAACAAAGAAAATGGGAACCCAAATTCACTTTCTGAAATATTTTTTCTGGCATTTACAAACTTTTTAGACACACTTTGCTCACCAGTTCTGAATGAGTCAATATAATTCAACAAAAACTTACTGACTACGCAAAATACTTTGCGTAAAGCACAGAGCTCTGTAGAGCAAGAAAACTTAATTAAAATTATTTGACTTGGGGGGGGGATCAAAGAGAAGGGAAAGAAGGAAGGTTCTAGGCTCCCCGTCTCACACAGGGCAGCTTCACTTTTATCTATTTTATATATTGTTTCCATACATAATTTTATTTCAAAAAAACATTCTACTCTTTAAAAAAAGTCTGAACATCACTATTCTAAAATTGCTTATTTCTATGTAGTAGCAACTTACCTGGGATTAACTTCAAGGTGGTAATTGCTTGCAATAGTGCTAATTTCAATTTTCTTTTTAGATGGAGTCTGTGGACAAAGAAAGTAGTGTTTTTTTTAATGTTTATTCATGACTATTTCTCCTCTTTTCTGTATTTCATTCTTTTTAATTATGTAAACAACTTATGTTTACTAAAGAAAAGAAAACTTTAGATGACCACCACTAATGCTTCAACTTCATTAACCCCATTCCTTTCTTAAGGTGCATGTAAACATACATGTTTTTACATACATTGGGTCATATCACACATTCTGTTTTTAGTGTGATCACTTTTCTCCTTTACCTCCAGAAATCTCCAAACCATTCCCAGTTATCAGATCGTTGTAAACAATCTGCCTATGTCCTTTCACAGCCTTTTCCATGATAGCACACAAAACTAAACACATACTAATACATTACTACATAGAGTGTGTCAGCATACTTGCAAAAATTGTTTTAAAAAGAGGCAATCATATATATTTCTCTGTGTTTTGCTTTTCCTTAACAACACATCTAGACAACCTTCTCAGACAAGTGGTATAGGCTGTTATAGCTGCATATCAACCATAACATGGATGTCCCAAAGCCAGTCATGCAGATGGGCATTTTGTTTCTTGCTTTTTACAATCTCAAACAATTCCATAATTAACATCCTTGTGTATATGTCTCATGCACTGCTTTCACGTCTATGTAATAGATTCCCAATAAAAGATCTGATGGATTGAAGATGATGTGTTTTCTAAACTTTTTTTTTTCCTAAAGTTTTATACGTATGTATGTGTTTATTAGACTCTCACTGCTTTTCCTCAACTACCACAAAGGTCAAACATCTTCACATATATTTACTGACTGTTTATCTTTCTCTCCTGTGACCATTTTTTATTCAGTTTTCTACCAGGTTGTTTTTCCATTGTTACTTTGTAAAATCTTTTATCTAATACATTCCTTTCAAATATTTTTTATAATCCTTCATTTTTCTATTGATCTTATGTATATTATCTTGTCATACAAACTTTTAAAATTCATATATACCCAAGTATATATTTTCTTCTACAGCTCCCATGTTTTTTACTAAAAGGTGCTCCCGACTCATACACTGTTCATACTGTCTAAGAAATTCTATTTTAAGAAATTTAGTTTTATTTTACCATTTCAGCCTTTAATTGATCTGGATTTATAAATTATGTGTAATAGGGATTCAACTTTATTTTCTTCTGGGTTGGTAACTAGTTATGCTAGCACATTTTGCTGCCCAATCCTTTTCCTACTGATGTGAAATAGATCTTGGGCTGTCATATTTCTGGGCTCTCTATTCAGCTCCACTGATGTAATCCTCTATCCCCATGCCATAGCAATATTGTTTTGATTATAGTAGGCTTACAGTATGGTTTAATAAACACATGTCCCACTTCACAAATCTTCTTTTTCATAATTATTTTAGCTATTCTCAGAAATGTACTTTACCTTTAAGATCACTTCATACAATTAAAAAAATAAATTGCATTTTAATTGGAATTTCACTAAAATTTATACTGAACATGGGGAGAACAGATACTTTTAAATACTACTGAGAACATGATGCATCTTTCCATTTGATCAGCTCTTGTCTTTTGCCCTTTTATAAGATTATGTATAAGGTTTTCTTACTACCTTTCTTATTAAATTTGTCCCTGCATATTTTAAAGAATTTCCACCAGGATGTACTACCAACATCTCAAATTCAATGTGTCTAAACACAAGCTAATCCATATTAGCCTACAGTCCATTTATCCTCCTAAAGATTCTATTAATAGCACAACCTACTGTCCAGTCACTCAGTTTACATTTTTTCAGTGCCTAATATGTGCAAGACACTATACCAGAGGCTATGAAGAACATGAAAATGATGGCAACTGGACTTATTGTGGTGATTATTTCATAATGCATAAAAATATCAAATCACTATGCAGTATACCTGAAACTAATGTAATGCCACATGTCAAGTATAACTTACAAAAATATAAAATTTACCCTATATAACTTCAAAACAAATACAATCTTGTCAGAGTCAAGATGTATAAATAACTATGATCAAGGCAAAACAAAGTAATGCACTAAAAAGTATAAACTATGGGTTGTAGGAGGAAACATTAATTATAACGGGGTTGGGGGGGCACTTCCAAAAGGATACATTTCAGCTAGATCTTAAACACTGTCAGTAAGGAAAGAGTATGAAAATGCATTGCATAGCATGAGGCTACAAAACACAGCCAGGGCAAGATCATGGGAACTCTGAACATCCCAGAGCCTCATGTCTCCTCTCCCAGTCAGTCAGCTGCCCAATCTTTACCGAGTCACCGGATTCCACGTTTAAAATTTTTCTCCAAATCATTCCCTTTCCATACACACTACTGCTCTCAGAACAATGAACTTTAGAAACTTGAGTTCTAGTTCCAGCTGACACTAATTCGAATCTGAAATGAATCCCACCACCTACATCTTACCCAAAGTCTCCTGTTGCTCATATTTCTTCTCTAACGTAATGTAACTTTTGTCTGGTTATAATACTTAGGTCTATAAATCAGCAACTCTCAATCCTGTACACCAGGATTACCTGTGAAATTCTTACTTAAATCACACATTGGGCAGCAAAGGGTCCTATATGATGAGGGCTGAAAATCCCTGCTCTAAATATTTGGAGGGCCTCAAAGTGAAATGCTTACTGTGATGGTCTGATGTTCAATTCTCAATTTTTCCACTCCCACACCATAAAGTTCACGTAGAATACACATAATTCTTGTCTTTTTTCCAGCACCTGATGGTCCATAGACTAACAGATGAGGAAAGTCACCACACTGCACCTGGAAAAAAAAGAACAACTACTACTGCCCAAACTACTGCCCAACGTATGGAAGTAAACTACTTTTCAAGTATCAAATATTTTGTGTCTCTACCTATGAAACTTCAAAAATGTGTGTGTGTGTGTGTGTGTGTGTGTGTGTGTGTGTGTGTATGTATATATAGAGAGACAGATCTTTAACTCTGAAGTGTTGATTATCCCCCTGGGATTAATGTTATATAACTTATATATCTAGCACAGTACATGTAAGATACAACACTATATGCTAGAAAACAAGAAATCCCAAACCTGGCTGACTGTCAGAATCTTCCAGAGAACTTTTAATAAAAAGACTAATTACTGGACCCCATCCACAAGATTATGATTCAGTAACTGAGACTGATGCCTGTCGTAGTTTGGGCTTCTACAAATAGTCCGTTTGATAAGAAACGAGTGCATTTTGTTTTATTTGGAAGGTAAAGGAAACCTTTGTAGGGGAGCAGGAAAGCAAGGAAGGAAGGCAGCCAACAAGTTTTGTTAACTTAAATACCACTCTGGGCATCTGGGGTGTGATCCTGCTGTGGATACTCTTGAAGCCAGTGAAAAATACACCACACTATTAAACCACCCAAGGGTGGAGAAGCTGGAGTATGATACACTACCTCTCATCAATCCTTTGCTGGCTTGGAAAAGTGAATGGAGGGGAAGAGAGGGCATTAATTCCCTGACATTTCAAGTCTGCTTAGAGGTGTCAGCAAGAGAAAGCCTTCAGGAAATGCAGATGCAGGGAGGTGGAAGTCGGTCAATGTAATTTTATAAATTAAGAGCAAGGGAATGGAGTAGGACGCTGACAGTGCTGCATTTCAAAACAAGATTGCTTTTTAAAAACGTTCCCAGGTGATTGTGATGCTCAGTCAGGTCTGGGGATCAGTGTTATGAAGGCTATAAAGATGCCAAGAACACAGACCTTAGCTTCAGATGCATAAAATCTTGTGGAGAAAAAGTCTTATAAATAACCGTTTTGGAAAAATGAAAATAAGTATCTTAACAGACGTGCTTGTTACAGTGAATGTTAATACTCTGTAAACTCATCTATCTCTGGCGCTGAAAGAAAAAAGTGTCAAGGAAAGGAACTATTTACCTAAGACAACGCATGGAAAATAGTAGGTACTCCACAAATATAGCCTTCATTTTTTTAAACTTCTATCTCACCAAAAATAAGTTATGCTGCAAATGTTTCACACTTTTATGAGGTTGTAGATTCAAAGGTAAACAGGTGAATACTTTTGAAAAGCCAAATCTATTAACACAAAACTAATACACTAAATTTTTGCGCAAATATTTATTCCAAATTCTATATAATAGAAAACTGGCAATAGAATATAAAATATATCCCATGGTTAAGAAAATCAAAGTCGACGCTATTGTAAGAAAATGCAATTCGTCTATAAATGAAGCTGTATTCATTTATAAATTGCATTTTCTTAGAACAGCTTTGACTCTGATTTTCTTAACCATGGGATACATTTATTTAGATTTATTTAAACAGTATTTTAAATACTAAAAATAAATAAAATAGTAAATTAATAGATTTACTTAAAATTAGTATAGTATTAGTATTGGAATACCAATACTTTTAAAAGGGAGTTTAAAAAAAACACTTCACTCTCACAACACCACCAACTTTTCTAATGCCTTTCATATATAAGGATGGAGTCCTTTTATTATAATTTCTCATTACAAAAAAAAAAAGCTTTACAAATAGTACCTGTAATTCTGAAAAAGATGGGTACTGGAAGCCCAGAAGGCTGAGCAAAAACACTTCCATCAGGAAGTGGTACTTTAGGCCCTTAAAAAGAGTAGATAAGTGGCTTTTCTACTCAAGACCCTTCTTCCATCTCCACTCTCTACAAACTTCAGTTTGTTTTTCACAAAGCACTGCCATTAGATACTTTTATCAACTACAACATAAAAATAGGCATCGCGACAGGAAAAGAAAAATCTTCCATTAAGGAATTAAACTTAAGGACAACCTAATACCACATAGTTTAGAATTAAAAATGACCTTAGAAATTAATAAACCCAATATTTTCCTTTTTGTAAATGCGAGCAATGACACCAAGACATTTTAAGTAAGCCTATTGAAAAGTCAGATGATGTCACTTCTCTTTTCAAAACGTTCCAAAGGCTTCCCATCTCACTCTATTAAAATTTACTGTATCTGCACTTCCTCCCACCCCCAAACTCCCCCATTTCCTACTCCTCTTCCCGCTGGCCCACGGTTAGCCAGCCGCATTGGCCTCCCGAGTGACGGGCTGTGCACACTCCTGCCTCAGGCATTCTGCACCTGCTGTTCCCTCTACCCGCTCCACTCCTCCCCCCAGAGCTCCCTACTGTGGGCTCTCCCACTTCCTTCAAGCTTCGGCTCAGATGACAGTTCTCAGGGAGACTTTCTTGGTTTACAAGCACAGGCCCCGCCCCCACACCATGTCCTCGTCCCAGTTTTACTCTTCTCCACAGCATTCAGCACCTTCTGAAGCGGGAGGGCGAAGGCCTCCCCTCCTCCGGCTCTCCCCGCCCCGTCCCGCCGACTCACCAGGTTGCGCAGCTGGGCCGCCTGCTCCTTGTGATAGTCCAGCTGTCCCAAGGAGCAGGGCCGGTATTTGTCCACCCAGAGGCTCATGCCAGCCCGAGTTCCCGGGGTCCGACACTCGAACTTCCCGCGCGCTCGCCCTCCGCTCCGGACGCACAAACAAGTTTTCCCGCGAGCTCCAAATCTCGCGACATCACTACCTGCGCGGCGGCGTAAACGAGTTAGGGGCGGAAAGACTACGGAAGCCTAGTACGGACAGAATTAGGCGCAAAGTCGGATATCACCTACTCGTTAAGGCTCATTGTTTTATTTAATCATTTTCTTTGTTCTCACCCTCTATCATAGTACAGGAATTATTAAGCAAAATTGGAAATTTGGCTCTGATACTCTAGGAGTCAAATCCGGGAACTTAAGAGAGACCATCCTCCTAAATTCATTTCATTCGTTCATTCATTCACTCATTCGTTCTACAGAAACTTACAAAATATTTACTGTGTGGAGCTCTGTTTTTGGCACTAGAAAATATCCGGCTTTTCTCACTTGGCAGGCACCAAAAGAAGCTTTATTGAATAAACCGCTAAAACTAATATCTAATCTTCACTACCTTTCCTTACCTCCATTCCTTAAGATTCTTACCGAATTTAAAGCAAAGGAATCTAAAGGTCGTGAAAAGCTACAGAAATGTGGCCACTCAAACTGCACTTCTCTAGGTGTATGTAATTTTAATTACTTATTTAACTTATGCTTTTATTTTACATATTGTTCAAAATCCTAAATACTGCCACAGGACAGGAATTGATTTCCAAATATGTTTAATAACCTTCTCTCAAGGTGCCCCCTCTCATTCACTTATGACACAAGAATTTATTGAATTCTTTGAATCATCATATTTACTGAATTATTCCTGTGGGCAAGAAATTATTGGGCACAATTAACACCACCGGGCTTCCCTGGTGGCACAGTGGTTGAGAGTCTGCCTGCCAATGCAGGGGACACGGGTTCGTGCCCCGGTCCGGGAAGATCCCACATGCCGCAGAGCGGCTAGGCCCGTGAGCCATGGCCGCTGAGCCGCGCGTCCGGAGCCTGTGCTCCGCAACGGGAGAGGCCACAAGGGTGAGAGGCCAGCGTAAAAAAAAAAATAACACCACCAAGTATAAGACACAATCTCTGTTCTCAAAAAACTTTTGAAACACCCTGGGAGACTTCTACCTCAAGGCCTTTGTGCTTATGATTTCCTCTTCCTGAACGACTTCTGTCCAAGTGTCAACGGAGCTGGGTCCCGCTTCAGCCCGTTTGCTCGGAGTCATCTCCTCAGTGAGGCCTCCCTGACCATCCTATTTAATACTGAAAAACTCTCCACAATCCCTATGCTCCTACCCTGTTGAATTGAGATGTCTGAAATTAGAAGGTAAAAGAAATCAAAAGCAAGAGTATTGAAGTGTCATTTATGTGGATACTGGAATCATAAAAAATAATGAAATTATTACCGTGAGAAAGAAAGTGAATCAGGTGCTAAAACAATCAATGAATTGACGTGAGTGACAACAAGCATGGCAGACAACTTCAACAAGGAGGGGTTCATGTAGAAAGTGGAGTCTGAAGACCTGTGTTTCAAAGTTGTGAGTTCTAAGGAAGCAGAAATGGTGTGGAGGGGACAACAATGCATAAGAAAGACACTTAGCTCACCTAGACTTGCCAGATTTCACAAATAAAAATACAGGAGGCCCAGTTAAATTTGAATTTCAGATAACTTTTTAGTATATCTATGACCATGCAATATTTGCAGTAATATTGCATGGGCATACTTATACAAAAAAAATTCATTGTTTATCTAAAATTAAAACCTAATTGGTGTTCTGTATTTTATCTGGCAATCTCACTCCAGACCCTTGAATATATGGGATGTGAGAGATGGCTGCTCAGAAGAGAGCCAGAACATGAAAGAAGTATTCAGAGAAGAAGGTATGAGTATACAGCAGCAGCCAGCAAACTACAGCTCCAATCACTTAATGACTCAGGTTCCTCAGCTCAAAATGGGGTTAATGAAACTTGCTTTATGGCTCATTTGAAGATTAAGTGAGGTAATGTAAACACCTGTCACACAGAAGGCATGCAATAATTAATGGTTACATTTTATTGAGAAAAGACATATTCACAGTGATGTCTGCCATCTTGTACCTATAACCAAGGACTAAAAAGAACCAACCAAACCTTCCAAAGACCCTCAAGATGAAGGATTGTGTTACCTGGGCTCTTCTGCTCCTAACCCTTGACAGTTCATCCCAGTGCACGTCTCTGGGACAAACCTGTAATTGGTTCTTGCCAGAATCAGGAGTAAGGTTCTTCTCCAGGCTGGATCTAATTTTGATTCTTTAAAGAGAAGTAATGAGGAAGAAATTTCAGGGTCTCAAGAGGCTGAGAGACTAGTTAAGGGTATAAAATATATATATAACTTTGGCTTAGCCCCTATCCTTGTGAGTTTTCTTTTTTCATATGCCCACACTTTCTCTGTTCATTGGCCAGTTAGATGCAGAAAATCCAGAGGAGGGCTTTGAAGCTCTAGGGGACAGTTGAGGCCCTTGCCAGAAGGAAACTGGGTCCCTGCATCTTAGCCCAGGGTGATCCACCCTCTCCCCAAAAACAAAGTGGGTAAGTTATTGGGGAGATGATCAAATGGATCAGCAGTGAGAGACTGAGGAAAGCGAAACAGGGGAGGAAGTAAAGCCAAAGCAAGATGTGTTATCAAGGTCACTTCCATGGGCAACTGGGGCTTGATCCCTCTGGGGACTTTGTGAGGAATGAATAGAGTACTTCTTTGAATCATCTATTGAGGAAAGATGGGAAGAAGCATTCATCCACCAGCTCCCATACTCTATTGGTTGAGGGTTTCTCCCTTGAGGATGGTAATTCCCAACACACACACAGCTCTGTACTTGGCCTCTGTGCTAGGCAGGACCCTGCCTGTGCCCATGCTGTCAAAGGACAACAATCCTACCATTTTTTCCTATCCATTCTCTGTTTTCTTATCCATTTATTCTCTTATGCTCCAAGAAAACAGGTAATAATGGGTTTGTGCTTTCCATATTAAATTTACACACAGTGTTAAAATATCCCAGGATTTTAAAGATGGAATTATTTTTTATTTTATTTTTTTTTTTTTTGGCTGCACTTCATGGCATGCAGGATCTAAGTTCCCCTGACCAGGGATCGAACCCACGCCCCCTGCAGTGGAAGCACAGAGTCTTAACCACTGAACCGCCAAGGAAGTCCCAAGACTGAATTTTTATAAAGATAATTATAATAGAAACAATAGCCATGATTTATCAGAGAGATTGATGCATAGCAGAGAAGTATTTTTCTCGTAAAAGGAAAACTGGCATCTCCTTAAAATGCCAGGGATTCTCAAACTGAGTGGGAAGGCAGACAGTTCTTTGACTAGTGTCCCTTTGCCCCTGTGTGGATGACACCATTCATGACTTCAAAAAGGAAACCTAAGAATTCAAACCCTATGGTCCACTCTATGTCAAGGGCTGCTTCAGCCAATTGTCACCATCAAGAGTATATGCTAACTGAATGACCTCTATTACTAGAGTAAATTTCCCTCTAGTGTTCTATTTTTATTTTGTTTTTAATATGAAAATTGTTTTCTTTCTAAATGTGTATTTTTTTCTTATGTTAAATCTACTGATTACATTGCAATGAAAGAGGAGGGTCTCTGAAATAATGTCTCATGAAAATAAAGGCAAAGTACAGCCGTGGTGTGCTACAATGTAGGGGTTTTTTTTAGGTCATGTGAGGCACTTCTGCCCATAACCTAAGTATCCTAATAGACTTCTGAGTGTGTTGGGTGTGAATTGGCATAGCTGGTGTCCCTGGCTCTGAGGAGTATCTCAGGATGGCAGATGTTGATAGTGGACAATGGGAATGTGGGTGCTGTGAATCAGAGAGCATGTCAGCAGGGAGGGTCTTCCTCCACTGCTCTCTGAGCCACATGTCCATGCAACACCACCCATCCAAACAGGAGCCAGAGCACAAGATTCAGATCTGTGCCTGGAGGACAGGGATTGGAGGGTAGGAACAGCAGACACCACGAGTGCTTTCATATTCAATCAGACAAGTATTGTCATTTACGTTTTTATACATGTATGTATCTGTGTAACCATAATCCAGATCAAGATATAGAACATTTTCACCACTCTAGAAGGCTCTCTCATGCCCCTTCCCATTCAATACATCCCTCTGGAGTAGCCACTATTCTAAATTCTACCATTGTATACTATTTTCCCTGTTCTTAATCTTCATAGAAATGAAACCACAGAGTATATTCTCTTTTGTGTCTGACTTCTTTTATTCACAATATATCACGAAATTCATCCGCTTGTATGTAGCAATAGGTTGTACCTATTTTTATTGCCATGTAGTATTGCATTGTATTAATATCAGGCAGGCTTCCTGGGATGTCACCTGTGCAATGTCACATAGCCTTTTGCTTGGTGTAATGCTCTGCTGTTGCCATCTTGAAATTCTTAATAATTTCTTAACAAAGCACCTGAATTTTTAAATATTTTGCACTGGGCCCTGTAAATTATGTAGCCAGCCCTGATCAATATATCTTAATTTATTTATTCATTGTACTATTGATGGACATTTGGGTTGTTTCCATGTTTTGGTTAGTAAAAATAATATAGCTGAACATTCTTGTGCATATATTTGAGACATGTACTAATTTCTATTGGACACATGCATCTAGGAATTAAATTCCTTAGTGATAAGGGTAGGCATATGTTCAGCTGCAATAGACACTAACAAGAGTTTTCAAAAATATTTGGACCAATTTACACACCCGTAAGCAAGGAATGAAAGTTACATATTTCATATCCTTCCTGACAAAAACCTCTTTCTTTATTGTGGTAAAATATTTGTAACATAAAATTTACCATTTGAGCTATTTTTAAGTGTACAGTTCAGTCGCATTAAGTACATTCATTCACGTTGTTGTACGACCATCACCACCATGCATCTCCAGAACTTTTTCATCATCCCAAACTGGAACTCTGCACCTATTAAAAGTAACCCCCGGGCTTCCCTGGTGGTGCAGTAGTTGAGAGTCCGCCTGCCGATGTAGGGGACACGGGTTCGTGCCCTGGTCCGGGAAGATCCCACATGCCGCGGAGCCGCTAGGCCCGTGAGAC